GCACTAATGCATTTCTACTGCCGACAAGCAGTTATTTATATAAACAACAGCAGCTGACGACTTCATCTGTGGTCGCCGTCGTAGTCAGACAACAAAGCGGCGCACGCGTCACAAGCAGGAAGCAAAATAAATAAATTCAAAAATAAATTAATATTCAAAAATGAAAAATGCACATTTCGACTAGCCGGAAATTGTGTTCAATTAAGAGCTAAATGTATAAAAAAAAAAACAATGAATTAAACGCACATTTTCGTGGCCATTGAAAAGGCAAAGTTGAAATTCCCAAATAAATTTTGGTGGGAATAAATATTATCAGAAATTATATCAAAAACACTTTCAACTCAATTGCGGACATGCACTCACCGCAATGCCCTACTGCGCGCGCACACACACATACATATACATATATATAAATGCAGTTGCATATGCCGCACAATTCAGGCACTTCACCGACAACGCCTGCATTCACACTTCACACACAGTCGCGCAGCCGGCGTCCATCAGGCTGCGCGCCCCCGCCACTTAGTTAGGCAGCCAGTCAGCTATCCAGAGAGCGAGCGGGTTGCCCTTCATTTAAATAATATTTCATGTTTTTAAACAAATTTCATACGCCGTGCACTGCGTAAACAAATAAATGCAAGTGTATTCATTTTCGATTCCGGTCGCCACATATTCATAAGTGCCGTTGCGCCAACACTCTCACAAATCATGCTACTCGCACTCGTTACCTCGCCACCGCTGTCCCCTTTGCCACTTTTGCGCATACGAATCGGACAAGTGACACATTTGGCCACAGCTGCTCGTTCATTGAGCCCATAAAATCATAAAATTGTGGCACTTCCTATAGAATACATTCAGGCGTTGGTGAAAAATTGCTCGCAGTGCTGCCGGCGTTAGCGCCACCGTTGACAGCACGATTTCCGCAGTTCATTGTAGTTTGAAAGCGCCGACTTTGTTTTGACGTTCTGCTGTGTTGCTWGTGTGTGTGTGTGTATATGTTTGGTTATTTCTGTTCTGTTCGGGGTGGTTTTCGCATATTTAATTTAGTGGAACTCACTTTTAATCAGTAATATTATTGCATTGTATGGTGGTGAATTGATTTTAAAATTAATTTCAATTTTTAGCCAATTTTGAAGTGCGCTGAACAGCATTGAACGATGTGATTTGCTTATTTTCTGTATCCGAATAAGTTTTAACGTGTAATTTATCATCTACAATGTATCAATTCTTTAAATTTTTGGAGGCTGCTTTTACTTTTAGAGAATTTTTATTATTTCCCCATACATTGTGTAACTCTGGTATTATTAGGATGCTCTATTGAGGAGAAATCATGGATATTGTGTTGACACATGTTTTTGAGTTTTTAGTGCTATTTCGTCTCATTTTAAACTTCTAACGTACAAACCTTTCATTTATTTTAATTGGAATTTCAACCGTGAAGGCCTGCTTCCTGAATGTTGTAGTTAATATTTGTTTCAATATTAGATCGTTCAAGTCGATGGTAACCAAATATATAAAAGTCGAAGGAGTGCACTAAACTTTCCACGAAATACGACGAGCAGGAGCAGAAGGTCATTAAAATCTTATAGAGGATATGTGCAGTTTACATCAAATAGCAATATAACGGGTGATCCAAGTAAAGGCACATTGTCAATAGCCTTTTCTTGAAAGATCACGCATGCGTTGTGTCAAGCTGTCATGTTATTTTTGATCAGTGTTATTTGGCAACGTTTACAAATCGTTCAATTTTATTAGGAGACAAGTAAAATTCCCGCATTTGATACTGAATAGATTCAAGATTTGCCATTTCATCCCGAACAAACGATCGGTGTGGTTTGTGGACTGGTGGAATCATCGGTCCACTTTTATTAAAAAAATATGCTGGTGAGAACGTTACCATCAATGGCAATCCAACCCAATGTCATACAGCCATGATAATCGACTATTTGATGCCTGAAATTGAAGACGAACGAGTTATGGACAATTGGACTCAATGGATGGATCATCTGAGACATAGTCTCGGCCAACATTTGAAAGAGATACTCCTCAATTAAATGCTAAAGAATGTTCTTTCATATGATAATAAACATTCAGTATTAAATTTGAAGTTTTTGTGTTTTTTGGTTAAAAAGGTAAGAAACCTCGAGATGAATCACTCTTTACATTTGGATCATACTCATCAACAAAGCGATTCGAGTAATACTTTTTTGGTTAGCTGCTGAGCAGTTTATCATAGCAGACGACATTGGCAGGCAGCATCGAATCCATATGTGTGGTAAATATTTGTGGAACGCTCTGCTTATAAAGTAACCTCAAATAGAGAAGAAATCCGAACTTCACGTGCCAAATATTAGTATTAAAGAATATATTACTAAATATTAATAACATTATATAAATTATGTTTATTTAGATTAACATTACAAAAGAAAGCTGATATAGAAATTTAATGAAATATCAGCATGCGCTTTTCTAATGAATTCATTTCCCTAACTTTGAGAAAAATATCAAATCGATGACACATTTATAAACATTCATATTTATATTTAAATTTTTTAGAACAGCTTGTCTTCATGAATACTAATACTAAGGCAGTTAATTTCTTGGCTAGGGGTAGCAGTTCTCTTGCGAACTGAAAGGTTCAAGTACAAATGATTTTGGAGTCACATTATTATGGCGGATTGGGCTTTGCTGTTCACGGATGGAATGAAGTTAAGAGGGAGAATCGAAGATGCAGTGTTTTGTCAGATTAACAGATCATTGTAGCGTTTTTCTAACAGAGATGGCTGCTATCAAGGTGGCTGTAGATTTACCGCGCCGAATGCAAGCTCTACTCACTCTAAACTAACTGCTATACTGGCCTTAAGCTCGTTCACTGTGCTCTCAAAACCAGTCAAGGAGTGCATCACATCATTTTCATTAGCTTCAAGATACCCTTATTTCATCCGAGAGGAAGCGACTGGATTTATGAGAAAGAAGTATGAGAAAGCGTTCTTAACAAATTCAATACTCCGCAATTGCAATCCCTTGCTATTCATCTATTGCCTAGCTTTTCAGACTTATATTGAAAGATATTGGTAGATGTACCTTTGAAGAATCTAGTAAAGTGGCTGTAATTGATATTAATCGATTTAATCAATTTCTAATAAGCTCAAAATGCTTCGTCAATCTATGTGGTAATGCATCTTGAATAGTTTTTGGTTATAAAATGGAAAATATCAATCCAAATGAGATCCGTCGATTTTGGATCAACGCCATTACCTTACTTCGCCTGTGCCATTCAAATTTCGATTAAAAATAGTTCAATAACCCGTCAGAAGCTTTGACTACATTTTGGGCGCATCACCCTGATTTATGACTTAGAAAATTGTGACTGTTGAAAATCTTTATATTGAAATGTCACATGCAACACTTATGTACAAGGTGTATTCCAAAGTAAACAGGAATTTTTGAACCTAGCGTCCCTTTTGGCACCATCTATATGTCGACTACTGCGTTAGAATTTGCTACCTTTATCGATTGCCTAGTGAGAATTTCATAACATTTCATTGATTAGAAGTGAAGTTATTGCGATTTAAGTGTCAGTATGTTTGTGTAATCGGTGTGAAAATGAGCTTAGAACAAAGAGCCAACATTAAATTGTGTTTTAAAATTGATAAAACTTTTACCGAAACATTTCAATTGATGAAAATCACGTTTTAACCATTAACCACTACCCGTATTCACCTGATAGGTCACCGCGGGACTTCTCCTTTTCGGAGAAATGCATTTGCCCATGAAAGGAAAGCGTTATGCAGACGTAGAGGCACTTAAAAAGGCTTGCTCCGGCATACTGGCCGCCATACTGGCCAACGGGCTAAAACACTCCTTCAACATGCTTTCGAACAGTGCAAAAAGCTGTATTGAAGCAGAAGGAGACTATTTTGAATAGAATAAATTGATTTTGCCGAAGAAACCATTAGTTCTGATTTTTTTTTAAGTCCTGTTCACTTTGGAACACACCTTGTAGGTGGTACCAATTTAAGTAGAGGGTACGTTTACTTAGATCATTTGGATTTCAGCGAACACATACGCAGCTCTCCACTTTTTATCTGGGTCTGACTATCTAGTCTTATACTCGTAGGTAAAAAATAAATTCCGCCAACTCACCAGTACATATGCATATGAGGGCATCCCTCGATATGAGCGCCGCTTGCCAACGAAATTAAAAGGTAAACCTTTACGCACCCTTCCACCCACCAGTAAGCAGCCTTCCGGAAATTTCTTAAGCAACACCTTCAAAAGCGCCCTCCACTTCGTACAAACGCCCAAAGCTATTCAAGCAGGCAGCTATTGTAATAGCGCGTGTTGGCGTCGACACCACGAACGCGTCACTGTCGGCGGCGCAAAATAAAAAGTGGTGGCGAATTTAAAAGCACAACTTCGAAAACACGCTTTCATATTTTCGGTTTGCGTTGCTCTCGCTCAATTACTTGTTTTTGAAATAAATGCTTTGCTACTTTGTGCTCACGCGCACTTTTTTGTTTTGATGCTGCTTTAGTATTTTGCTTCATTCCTTTCGCTTTGCTTAGCAATTCTACGCATTGGCTTGATTTTGTTGGCAGCTTTTTTGTAGCTTTTCGCTGTTTATTGTTGTTATGCTTTAGCGTTGCCTGCCTGTTTTTGTTGTTATTCGTCGTTGTTGACGCGCACGTATTCTTTGCTTGGCTTGTTCGTCTGTTGCTTTTCTGTTTATATTTCTGCCTTTCCGCCGGTCGCTCTACGCGCGTCCGTTTGCACTTCGTGGCTGCGTTTGCTTAGACGGTGGCTGCTTAGATTGTGTATATATGTGTACGTATTTGTGCGGATATTTGTGGTGTTGGTGGTGGCAGCGTTGGCTACAATAGCGTCAGCGCGCCTTTGATGATGACAGCACACGCTAGCAGCGGACAATCAGCGGCGCGGAGCACCCAACTAGACAACGCTGGCTGGCTGGCACGCTAGTGGCTTGCTTGGTTGGTTGACTGGTTCAGTTTTAATTCTGACGGCTGACAGTTAAGTTGATTTCGTGCGCAGAACGCGGAACGTTAAAGCTAACAAAGCTGCCAGCTCTTCGAGTGACTTTTACTGTCCGTGAGACGGTGACTGTGTTTATGTGTGCGTGTGTGTGTTCAAAGTAAATTTTGTGGCTTTTGCCAACAACACAACGGATTGTTTTGCGTTGTTTGAATTGAAATCAAACGATTAACGTTCATAAAAGAAGGTAAACAAATATTTGGTAAAAAGATACGCTGAATTAAACTGTGAAGTTTTCTGTAATAGAAATCGAAATAGTGACAGTGGATTTTTGGCGAGAAACTTGTGACGGAAGGCGAAGCAGCAGCAGGAGGAGGTGCGCGAAAATTCTGGTGTGTGTTTTACCATTTAAAATTGAAATAATTTGAAATAAAAATAAAAATTTTTAATGTGTGGTATTAAGAGATCACAACTCAAGGTCATTTGTTTGTGAAAGTATTTGAAAGCATAAAATTGAGACATATTCGAATAATATTTTTCTCCAACAAATTTTAACATAATTGTGTGTTCAGTTTTGTGTATAATTCAGTGTGTATTACTAATAATAATAACATTATTTTCCGTTATAAAAATCATTATAAATATGAAGTATATCGTGGTATACAAAAATTCGTTTTTTAAATACAATATCAATTTTAGATTTTTAGTTTTTATTAAATTTTAAATTTCTTCGAAAATCTATTTTAAAAAATAAATTCAAACATTTCTCCTATCTAATAAATATACCTATGTAGTTATATAAAAAATTGGATTTTGTTTAAATTTTAGTTTTTATTGAATAGTGTTTTCTGGTCTTTCCTCCACTCTTAACTAAATAAAAATAAAGTACGCCCGTATCCAGCATTATTCTTGTTTCTAAAATAAAATTTCCAAAAATCATAAAAAATTTAGAAAAAAAGAAAAATGCCAACTACAGATGCATCGAAGCTAGAATATACAAAAAAAAAAAAAAAAACAAAAAAAATCGAATAAAAAATTTGACTCACCGGTTTGTATGGCAGCTATATGTTATAGTAGTCCGATCTGAAAGTATTTTCACTGAGATTGTAGCTTTGCTTTTGTGAATATTCAGGACCCAATTTTGTGAAGATATTTTGTCAAATAAAAAATCCCTCCATACCAGAACTTGATTTATATCGATCATTTTGTATCGCAGCTATAAGCTCTGGGGGTCTGATAATAGTGGCTCCGACAGTTTTTATGGGGAAAAAGGATGTGCTCAACTTTTTGTTTCGTTATCTCAAATATCTCGGACAAGTGAACAGACAGGCATACCTAAACCGATGCAGCTCGTCATGCTGACCATTTACATTATACAAATTTCATAAAGTCTCCTTCGTTTGTTTGTCGCTGTTCTAAACTTCGCCACAATTACTAATCTACTGTTCAGGGCATAACTAATTTTTTTTACAGCAAAATTTAGAAACTAATAGAAAGTTGCTTTATCCATTAAGGAGTTCTTACTAGACACTGTCCAATAGGCATTCATGTCTCTTGTCGGACGCAAGTTGTTAAAGCGGTTAAAGTTGCTTAGATGGGGGTGTGGTGGAAACATCCAGCTACTTTTTGCTTCATCCGTCATTGTCCATGCTTTACAAAACTGATCCTGAAACATGTCGGTAGTCTTACCTTCGACGAAGCAGGAGGCATAGCGAAAACTGACATTAGCCGTCTCAACAAAATTTTTGTCAGGCTTGAAGAGCTTTTTCGGTTTGTAAGGGACTTAAGATAGGAGTTTTTCGTTACCACAACTGATCAGCGTTTTAAGCACCGAACCTACAACTGAAGTTTAAAAAAAAAAAATTCAATTATTTTTGGATAATATTTTTATACAAATTTATACTAAAAACATTTTTTTAACCAAACCAAGTTTAAGTATGTAAATTGACAGCACAATTATTATTAAAAGTTATACAAAATTAAAATTAAAGAAATAAATAAATGGATTGGGAGAAAAAGTTTTCTGTATAAAAGAAATGCTTATAAAAATATTTTTGTTTAACAAGAAAAAATTAAGCAAAATTGTCGGTGCAATTATTATATACCAAGCTATAAAAATTATACAAAACCTAAAAAAACAAATGAAATGAATTAAACGAAAAAGTTTCCTATATAAAAGAACAACGTTAATGGGTCTTCTATACATATATTTTTTTCTCTCAAAATTAGCTTGTAATTAGCAGGGGTTATAATAATRTTATTATTATTATGTTAAAATATCATAATGCAAAAATTAAATTACATCATTTTGTTAAAAAAAATTATTTAAATCAGTTTTATGCAAATAAAGTACCAAGTGAAAATAAGCAGATTGATTTGTGATTTCTGCAAAACTTTTTCATCATCTCAACTGCGCTGTTTTTTACCATTTCGCTCTCAAGTTAATCCATTCAGTAATTGGCTTGCTATTTTCGTTCCCTGAAATTATGCGAAAGCGCGCCAAATGCAAAGAATCATGATGCTTAAGTAGAAAAGCACGCAACAAAAAATTGCAAAAACAAAAAAAAAAAAAAAAAAAAAAAATCCTACAACATAAACACTGAAGCTGAAGCTAGTTTACGCTGATATATTCACTTAGCGAATCAGTGCGGTTTTTGCAAAAATTAAGTAGCCGCATACTGCATGCAGGCATTTATTTGTTCTTTTTGGTTTTGCAAATTTCCTGCGCTGAAATACGATAGTCTGCAGGCTAGCGCACATGTTGCATCTGCAATGTGGCCAACAACAACAACGCTGTATGTTGGCAAATTTTGCGGTTGCCGAGGATTTGGTTCGTTTATTGATAGTTGTGCGCTCTACGGTTGGACGCTTGGCTGCCAGGCGCAACATGACAGCAGATGTATAGACACAGTCATGTGTAAAATATCAGGATCATAAAGGTTATATTATCCATAGTTTGAAGTTCTGATCGAAATCGACGAAAATTCAGTATAAATAGTTATATATTTATAATGTTATATAAATTATTTGTAAAAATAGCAACAAAGTTATACAATTGTATTCAACATAAGACAATAGCTGTGTTATAGTGGCCACTTTTCAGCTTCCTTTCTTTTAGCCCTGTTCTTTTGTCAAAAATGTGACATCAACCATAGCAAATACATTTTTTGACGTTCCCACGACAATCAGGTATACGTAACTGGAACGGACTCGGATTACTATCCGGCCGAGGACTGTCAGCTCGGCAGAATTCCGCCGCTACAATAACAATAAACACTTTTTTTTCAAAATTCTTGTTTTTTATTCAATTGTTGTTTTATTCAATTATTTGATGCATTGAATTTAGCTATTCTCCAACTTTTCGATAGAATTTTTTATTAGGATTTGTCGTTTACTTTAAAATATATCTCAGTCGGTGGCGATTACCTCTTCATTCAACGAAAATTTCTTCCCAGCGGGTATTCTTTTGAGGTCAGAGTATAGGAAATAGCCGTTGCAGGCCAGAATAGGGTGGATGTGGAAACAATTCGAAAGCCAATTCATGGACTTTTGTCTTCCTTTCATTCACTTGTGAAACAGCACTTTATGTTTCGTTCGGCCTTTCGTCCTTTAAACGGTCCAATAACGCTATGTAATAATCACTGGTTATGGTCCTTCCGTTTTCAATATAAGCAACAAAACATATTCCATCCGCAGCCCAAAATTCAGACGCTATAACCTTGCAAGCCGACAGTTGCTTTTTCCATCGTATGGAGCGGGTTCATCATGTGCAGTCCGGTCGAATGACTGCCGAACGGACTTTCGATTGAAATGTTGGGACACGTTTCATTCTTTGTCATATATCGATGCAAAAACTCGGGTTATTTGTTTACAAAACAAACTTTAGCTTCTCCAAATTGCTGTGATTGACGAATTTAACTTAAATATATGATACGAGTATAAAGTGGGATACTAAAAAAAGAAATGCGGTTTTTTATTCATTCGTTGTTTTCCGAGGTATACTGATGCAAAACGATATACCGCCAAATTAAAATTGAATTTGAAATTTTGGGAAATGAAATACCATAATCGATGAGATTGCCGAAAATACTCTCCGCTTTGTTGCCTAATCTGTTCAGGACACAACACAAGTCGTTAAAACCGATACATAACAAAATTTCCGAAAGTGCTAATAGATGGGCGAGATTGAATGCCTTAAAGGCATGTGTGATCGCCAAGACCATCTGCAAGGAAACGAAATCAAAACACTCAATCTTTCTACATACAGTTGCCTAAAGACTTCCGGACGGGTGTTGGCCTGGTCACTGGTCAGAAGTTACTGGCATCACATGCGAGCCGCATGGCCATTATTAACGATGAAACATGAATAAAGTGCAGGGAAGTAGGCATGAGAGAGTTGTTGCACGGTTTATCTAAAATTCGACTTAGTTATCTGAGAGCTTCCCAGTTCAAAGGACTGAATGAAGTATCAGAATTAAATTTTTTTTCATAGAGTTATGCGTCCTTGTAGTAGAGGGTAGAGAGGGTCCTTTCCTCGTCGCTATGATTTCTACCCTTGTGGTTATCTGGAAAAATAAGCAATGACGGATTCTTGATTAGAACGATGTCGTCATCTCAAGAAACAAAGACGAATTCTTGAATAGAGCGAATGTCTCTATCTCAAGAAGCTGCAAAGTTGAAACAAATTTTATATATTGTCTACTACTTAAAAATAAAAGTAGATTTCTCACTAATTTTTAAAAAAGAAAATTTACACATCAGACAGCTGAAGAACTAGAACTAGAGATATTGTGCAAACTGCTTCGAAAAAAATAGTTTTGAGAAAAGGGCGTTACGTAGTCTAATTTCCACTACACTAAAACGACACTTTGGAAAAAATTTAGTTTGAAATGTGCTTATAGGAGATAGTTTAGAAGCAAAACAAAAA